TTTGTTGGCTGGATGGAAGCAGTAGATAATTTCTTACCCCTACTTATCATTTACATTTGCCACCTCTCCCCACCTATGGAAGTTCTTAAAACATACAAAGGTAATTAAAGTATTGCTACTGAATCATCTCATTGCCATCAGGTCTTTGCTGACTCAGCGACTCTGCTGCGGGTCTCTGAAACTACAACTGTTCACGGTAGCAGAAAGCCCAGTCTTTCTCCCACGAAGCTGCTGGTGGTTCTGAGAGCCCCTTACAAAAAACATCAAATGTGACATTATTGGTTATATTTTTTGAAGATGTGGCTTCCATCTCCCTAGTCCTTTCCCAAAGAATTCTGCATTTGTATGTCAAAATGGCAATTTTTATTTCTTTGAGGGACTCAGATCATTGTTATTAAAAAAATATTCTTTGAATTTTGGAAACAAAGCCCGAAGGTGAAACATTGGGGCTGTGAAGTCGATTTGGATAAGGTTTCCAAATGAGATTCTCATAGTGTTACGTTTGCTGCCTTCGTAGAATGAGGATGTCTTTTATCAGGATGGACAATGTTTTAACTTGGTATCATTCTGGCTTTTTTCTCACACATGTTCGACCTTGAATTAAATTGGTCCATTACAGAAGTATTGTAAGAAACAAGTGAATGAAGAAAGTGCTCTAGATGCATTAAATGAGTGACAGAGATAATTTCACCTAACTAAATACAACACCGTAATTGACATGCTTGAATCATGCAAGAAAAGAAGGGCAAAAGTATATGAAGTATCCAGCGTTGTGATGGGAAGTTCTTTCAAGTAGAATTTTCTCCTTAAGCAAGGTAGATATACCTGTTGAAGAATGCATGAAGGCATCCAAAAATAACTGTCACCTACTTCCAAAACTTAACTATCAACTTTACTGAGAATTGGGACAATGTGGTTACAGAATGAGAATGAAATGTGCTGATTAAAGAAAGTCAAACTTATTCATGTGGGCATGTATGAGTCTGTGACAGAAGGTAAAATACATGCATATTTCCCAATGTTGAAATTGCTTTAGATATGTTTATAAACTTAATGTGCACAAGCTGCACAACAGAACATTCATTTTTATCCCCAGCTTACAACAATAATTCAAAAATGACTCTGATTCTTTGTTCTTATTGAGTATGGAAGTACATATTGTTTTGCAGCTTAATTGTGATGAAGTCTTTGAAAAAAATAAGAAATGTGTTGAACATATTAGATATGAAGGTTCTATCTAAAAATAAAATAGAAAAATTTGTTATAATTTTTTTCTCATCATTAATATTATTATTTGACATCTTTTCATTTGTTCATTTATAGTTAGAGAAATTTTTATACAAACTATTAAAATTAAAATGCAAGCAGTTTAAAACAAAATTAATGAAAGAAAGTTTTTCCTTGTGGGAGGTCAACACAATTTTACATTGGTTATTTAAACAACTACGTTCACTGACTAATATTTTTGGTGTAGAATTTTGGGAATTTTTTTTTTTTGTATAAAAGGTGGTATACCTTAAACTATATACCTTGCATTTAATCTTATAATCCTGTTCATCTCATGTCAACAAAACGGCTTACACCATATTTTCCTTCAATTATTAATAGTATAATCACATTTGAAAATACATTGTGTCATGGAACGTTAATCCACACATACATACATACATGTATCTGTAGATATGTTGTTACTGTTGTTAGGGGCCATCGAGTCAGTTTTGACCACAATGACCCGCGGTACAGCAGAACAAAATCTACCCCTGTCCAGCTCCATCTTCACATTGTCCGCATGCCTGAATCCCTGGTGTCAGTTCCCCTCCCTGATGGCCTTCCCCTTGTCATCGCCCTGCTACTTTACTACACACGATGTGCTTCTCCAGGGAATAGCCTCTCCTGACAATATGTCCAAAATCGGTCAGATGGTCTTGCCATCCTTACCTCGAAGGCTGAGCATAGTCACATATCCTGGGTGAATTTGCGAATAAGTGGGGGTGCTGGTGCTACGGTGATCACATGGCTGAATCTGACCTGTGCTAAAATAAAAAGTCTGTCATTTTTTGAAAACCTTTTCTCATTCAACTTGAAAGCCCGAATCTTTCTGAAATCCAAAGAAGCCCAACACCACCTGGTTTCACATTGCCTCTTAGAATTGGTCGTTTCCATTCCCTCATTTTCTCTCCCCTGTAGCTATACTAAGGAATCCTGGTGAATTAAGTGAATTAAGTGCCAGGGAGCTAACACCATCAACAGTTCTAACCTACCAGTTGGCTCTGAGAGAGAGATGAGGCTATCTGCTCCTATAATATTTGCAGTTTCAAGCCCTAAGGAACAATTCTGTTTTGTCATATAGGGTCAAGGTAAATCAAAAATTACCGCACAGCCATGGGTTTAGTTTACTTTGAATAGTTATCCTAGCATCCTCACCAGTCCCTGCACACCAAGTAAAAACCTGCACGCAGGATTTTGCATTTCTTTTTACTATTAGCTTTGTTCTGTAGATTTTTGCATTACTCACCCACTTAGCTGCTTAAATTATTTACTTAAATGCTGTTTTTTAAGGTTTTTCCTTCTTTGGTCAGATTATTAAAAAATGCCCACATTTCTATCTCTTTCTTCACTGCTCTATTTTTCTCTGTTTAACTCTTTATCACTGCCTATTAGACAATATTTTACTTATCTTGTTGATTGTGTGACCACTTTTCTAAAATTATATGTTCCATGAGAGGTTGGACATATGTCTATTTTTCCAGAGTCTAGAAGAGTTTGGTGTACAGAATAGTCAGTAAATAAGCCTATAGCAAATGAACAACACTTGTGGAGGTAATATTTTCCCTTGAGGTCTAATCGGAATTTTTGCTCAATTAAAGAAAAGCAACAATACTTTGTGAGCATTTGAGCCAGTTTAACTTTTTGATGAACTGAGTGGTAATAAAATCTCTCATAGTTTAGTCCAAAGTGTACTTCTAGGTATCAGAACATCCTCACAATGTTGCTCCTGTTTTCCCATATCCAGTGCCGCCAGTGAAACCAAGCCACTTTCTTCCATAACCTAGATAATAATCAAAGTTTCCTAATGAGATTCCCCTAGTCCATTCTCCAGAATAATAAAGAACCACAACACTATTCTCTGGTTGTATATAGAATGGTGCCAATCAGCTTTCTTTCTGTTATACTTGATATCCAAATTCCTTATAAGATGAGACATTCTACATGACCTGTCCTTATCTTTCTGACCTCCTTTGGTGCCACTACCCATTCTGTTCTTCATACCTCAGTCTCACGTTGCACGTGGTGGACTGGCTTCTTTTCATTTTCCTAATTTTTCTTTTCAGGTTTTTTAGCATTCATCGACTCAGGTGAAACTCACCTTTGAGAATCTCTTTCCTTAGTCATTCTATGTAAGTCAGCGTCATGATGGTGTTCTTTTTTCATTTTAAGATCTTTACTCCCTTCCAGGAAGTGTAATTATCTTTTACTTGATTATTATCCCATTTCCTCTTTTGATCTATATGCTCCACAAGTACATGGGACGTTTATGCCTTGTCACTCCCAGATATATAATGCCTAGCAGAATGTCATAACACAGCCATGCCAGAAATATTTGTTCAATGAGTAAATGGATGGGTTTCTAGGCTTCTATGGAAAATTTAAAACAATTTGATGTCTGAGGCTGGCAATGATGATAACATACAATACAAGTCTATTACCAATCCCTTTAACTAATCTAAATGATTGATTTGTGAGTACCCTTTTACAAATGATGCTAGAAATTTCTGTAGCCAACTTTGAACAAAACTTCCTTCTTATGAGGAATTTAAATGAAAATAGATCATTGTATTCACAGTTGTACTAAATTTCTACTTGGAAAGATATTTCCATACATACCTTCTTCCAGCCCTCTAAACATTGTAGATGTGGAAATTTTCCTGGATCAGGGCTGGAGGACTGATTACTGTGAATTTTATTACAAGACTCTGTAATTATTTTGAAGACTCTCTGGAGAACTGAGTGGGTTGCCAGAGAATTTTTTGTTCTCACCACCTAGCCACAGAATGCCCTTGGAAATTTAATAGCAGAAACTATCTTGGTTTGAATATATATATAGCCCTATTCAAATATTGAAACATTTGCATAGTTGATGTTTTATTTTAATGACCATTTTTCAGATGCGGAAACTCTGGTATAAAGAGGTTAAGTAAGTTCCTCAATATTTCTAACACAGAGTGGTCCTCGAACTTAAGCATCCTGTTCCTCAACATGTGACACTCATTTTTCTATGCCTGGCTGGGTGTTTGGGAGAGATTTTCCTGTAGTGCTATCAGAGCCTTCTTCTTGTACTTTGAAACCCACTCAACTTGGAAATATCCACCTGACCTCGGTGTCATTGTTCCGTCCTCTGTGTAAACAAGGCACAGCACTTATTTATTCCTGCTTAGATTATTCCAACTGTTTTATATTGCATTTGGGGCAGTGACATTTAAACTGTTTTAAAGGTAACTTCAGTTTTATAATTGCATAATCAGTACATGTTCGAACTGAAAACTTGGAATGAAACAAAAAAGCGTAATGAAAATTGAAGCAAAACAGTTATTGGCACCTCTCCCACCCATAGACCTCCAAGATTGAATCCTTTTAGATGTGTCCGCACTCTAATGTTTAGCCTCATGACATAATTTTGCTTCTAGAACATTCTCAATAGTCTAGTTCTCACCTTGCAGAAGGTTTGGTTTTGTGTATGCCAGAGTGGGAGCAAAGGGAAAACAGAAAATCCACCTAAACAGGAGAACATCCAGAAGCAACACCAGCAGCTTTATCAAGACAGACGCATGAGAGAAAACTTTTAGAATCCTTGTTGGTGGGTGCGGGTGGGGGTGGGGACGTGGGGGATGGACAGTTACCACCATTCACAGCCCTCTCTAGTACAGGCAATTGGAGCTTCTTCAAAGTAGATCTACTTCTATAGTTAAAAATCCATGTTTTGTTTTGTTGGGTTTTTTCAGATTTTGAAGATCATGAGCACGTGGATGTGTCTAACTAAATGGAACCTGGGGACATGCTGGTCCTTTAGAGAGAACATCTAAATCGCTGGCTACTTCCTGGTTTATCGCACAGCGCAGACATCGATTGCTTTTGTCCAGCCGACCCCTCCTCCTCGTTGGCCCCATCATGCTGTCTTTATGTGCTTGACACCCTTTCCTAAAATGCTCCTTCTGTTGATCCTGACAGTCCTGCTTTTCCAAGAGGATGTCCTTGGGAGTGCACCGTCCAGTGAGAGGAGAGTGGTGGCTCACATGCCAGGTGACGTCATTATCGGAGCTCTGTTTTCTGTCCATCACCAGCCCACAGTGGACAAAGTCCATGAGCGGAAGTGTGGGGCCGTCCGTGAGCAGTATGGCATTCAGAGAGTGGAGGCCATGCTGCACACCCTGGAAAGGATCAACTCAGACCCCACTCTCTTGCCCAACATTACACTGGGTTGCGAGATCAGAGACTCCTGCTGGCATTCGGCGGTGGCCCTAGAGCAGAGCATTGAGTTCATCAGGGACTCCCTAATTTCTGCAGAAGAGGAAGAGGGCTTGGTGCGCTGTGTGGATGGCACGGCTTCTTTCCGGTCTAAGAAGCCCATCGTCGGGGTCATTGGCCCTGGCTCCAGCTCGGTGGCCATTCAGGTCCAGAACTTGCTCCAGCTTTTCAACATACCTCAGATTGCTTACTCAGCAACAAGCATGGATCTGAGCGACAAGACTCTGTTCAAGTACTTCATGAGAGTGGTGCCTTCAGATGCCCAGCAGGCACGGGCTATGGTGGACATAGTGAAGAGGTACAACTGGACATATGTGTCAGCGGTGCACACAGAAGGTACGTGCCCTTTATCGAGTGTAACTTACAATGCATTCTGTAAGTCCTGGGTTCAATCTTTTATATGCGAAGCATGAATTATTTCATGTGTGTTGGATTGTGTGGCGTATCCTAGTTTTACCGACAAAAGAAGGGCTTTGATGGCAGGTGTCTGAGTAAAATGAAGATGGTTTTTAAGTGTACATCACGTTGTTTGTATGTGTGCTATAATGGCGTGATTCTGTTATTTGTTACTAGAGGATTTATGTTTCCCAAATCTCATTGAACACCTAATGTTGTAACATTTTAAAGATGCTCGGAGTGTCCGTTATTTCTAATGAACAGAGGTGCATGTAAAGATACAGAAGGCCCAGCGAGCAGCCAATTCTAGCCGAGGTAGACTGTTACAGAAAATTACAAAATAGTTTCTTCTTAAAACTAATTTTCAGTAGCATATGTGTTCAGATATGGTTGATACAACGGTGTATATAAACGTACTATATTTCACAATATATTTAAACACCAAAGTGTAATTTTTTACCTGGATTTTAAGGAATAGATTTAACTCTTGGGCTGAATCTCATTCAGCATTGTAAATATATAAATAAAATATACATTTCTTTCAATTAGGTTGTTATGCTATCCCTATAACATTCTACAATTATGTGGGTTCAAGTTTTAAAAGCTCGATTGTTTTAAAAATGGGAATAAGTGTGATTTAATTTTATCCTTGTATAGAATATAGTTGGTAAGTATAATGTTTAGTCATTCATTTTCAGTTTGTCTGGAAACTCATTGCTTGTGGCTCTTCAACCAGAGTGAGGAAAGGAAGCTGGATTTTGTATGATGGCTAATGATATTCTTCTGCGATGTTATATATAGCACCTTTGAAATATTTTTGTATACCTTATTCATTCATTCTCAACCAAGGCACTTTAGGATAGGTTATTTTTTGTCATTCTATTTTATTATTTTATTTAATAATTTTACTGGGGGCTCGAACAACTCTTATCACAATCCATCCATCCATCCATTGTGTCAAGCATCATCATTCTTAAAACATTTAATTTCTACTTGAGCCCTTGGTATCAGCTCCTCATTTCACCCCCTCCCTCATGAACCCTTGGTAATCTATAATATTATTTTGTCATATCCTTACACTGTCTGATGTCTCCCTTCACCCACTTCTCTGTTGTCCATCCCCCAGGGAGGATATATGTAGATCCCTATAATCTGTTCCCCCTTTCTATCCCACCCTCCCTCCACTCTCCCAGTATTGCCACTCTCAGCACTGGTCCTGAAGGGGATCATCTGTCTTGGATTCCCTGTGTTCCTGGTTCCTCTCTGTACCAGTGTACATAGGATAGGTTTTATTGTCATCCTTTGATACAGGAGTTCGTTGACCTAGGAAAGTTAATGGATCCAAGTGATGAGTCTTCTTTGTTACCCATGGTGTAAGATGACAATTTTTTCTGGGCACTGTATATGTATAGAATGCTGAAGAATTACAAAACACTTTTTATAGCTAATTAAGTTAGTGTAAGGAGTAGTTAAAATTTAAGAAGTCTTGCCATAATGCTCTCAGTGTGGTCCAACAACATCTGATTGTGTTAGCTTGAGCCATTAGGAAATTAATGACAGGGCAAACAAGGGCCTACATCAGAAATTGGGAGTCAATAACCACCAGGCATAACAATATTTTCATTATGATGGTAGCATACTACCAAGATTTTCATTACATAGACAGTCTTACTAATAATTTCCATGTAGCACAAATATAAAATGGACATATACATTGGATGAAGGTTTTTCTACCTATGAAATGTTCATTTATAAATGCATGGTATAGTTAGAATGATATTGATATATAGAGATTTTGAACTCAGGGTATTATTGAGAGCTTTTGTAACGGTGCGATATTTTTCTTAGGATTCATGTTTTTGTTGGCTCTTACAACCAGGCAGTGATATAAAACAGTACAGATACTGACCTCTAGTTCAATGTATTAATATAATTTAATAGAATCTAATGGAATTGCACCCCAGGGTTATATTTATTTATCCAACACATATTTATTAGTCACAAATTTATACCAGGCTCTCTGGTAGACCCGTGGAGGGCAATCATATTTTTCATGCATTAGCTATCCTCAAGAAATTTTCAGTCTTTTAAAAGATATGAGACATGCTTTATCATATCATTACTGATGTCCCTTATAATTCAGGATAACATAAAATTACAAATAAACTTCTAATTGAAATAAAAAAAGAAAGAAATCATATCCTGAGGGTCATAGGAGAAAGTGAAATGATCAAATGGAATCAGAACATTGAATTGTGCTTGGGAGAAAATTGAAAATTGGTCAAAAGTTAGGAAGGGGTAGGATTCTAGTGAAGAGCATGAGAGAATCTGAGGAGGTAAAAAACTATATAAAGTATTTTTGCGAAAGGTCAAAGATAAAATGTGTTTGGGTTTACTCCAAATAAAGAAGCCAAATATATTTTTAAATTATTTTATTGGGGACTCATACAATTCTTATCACAATCCATACATCCATCCATTGTGTTAAACACATATGTACATTTCGCTGCCCTCATCATTCTCAAAACATTTGCCTTCCACTCTAGCCCCTAATATCAGCTGCCCATTTCCCCCCCTCCCC